TAGTCAATCGACCAACTTTTAAGGAAGATTTTACGAAAACCACAAGGACAACAACCGAATTTTTATTCACATATCAAGCAGCTGAATTTCAAAGATCATTTTCGTATTAGAAAGTAATACCTTCAGAAAAAGTTTTTATAACAGAAAAAAAATTTCGGCTATCAATAGCTTAAGTGATAATCTATCACATGACTATGATCTGCAAACTCTCTATAACGGCCTTTTCTTGCCAAATCAGGCGGGCCATTATAGAGAGAGTGAACTGTAATCATGATTCAAATTTTATTTCTTCAAACAATTTATTCTTTTAATTTTCCAATGTCATTTTCTGTTCTGAAAGATTATTAATTGAGAATTTATTGGTTCTGTGGGTAAGTTGTATATGTTTGAAACTTGCTATTTACAGTAAGTCTTTTGTTGCTTCTCTAATCAATACTAACATACTATGTTTAATAATTCTGACATTGCAAAAAAAAATCAAGAGGTCAACTAGCATTTTATACCAATTACAACCCTGGACAACCATATCAGTAAAACTTAAGAAAATTTACACTTTTAATTTCTTGATTATTCAACAACGTGTGCATAGTTCGTGTAACATCTACTATTTAAAAATAATCAATTACAGATGTTTAATTTCCTCTTTTAGTAAACAACCAATATACTCTTGCTTTTGTCATATCCATTCTCTAACCTTTTTCTTCTACCAATTAATCCAATTAATTCAAAGTCTAAAAAATTTTTTTTTATATAAATAAATAAAAAAAAACATGCTTTCACATCATCCTTCTTTCTCTTCCTTTTCCTCTAATACCAATAAAAAATATATCCACAAGTAATTTATTTTATATTGAAAAATAATAAAAATATGTAAGATTCATTTTTTATGATTAAATAAATGTAATTAATTAATTAAATATTCACAGATGTATTGACAATTAAACAATATCAATAATATATTTATTAATTAGTTCATAATGAATGTCAACAAGGCAAAAGAATTACAAGAAATTGTTAAACTCTTAACAGAAAAACCTATAATAGATCATTCAAAAGTAAAAGATATTTATGAGGTAAAAATAAACCTTTTTTTATATTCTAACATTTCCACCTGAATTTGAAGAGGCTTATAAATATATAATCATATATATATACACACGTATCCATAAATTTTATGTGTAGAATGTATATTAACTAATTTCTTTCTGTTAATATCAATCAATCACTTGTTTAGTTGAATGTTGTATCAAATCATAATTCAGGTCCTGTGTCATTGGAACAATTTTTGGGTGGTGGAGGTATTTATTATTCCATCTCATGTTTATGAATTATTTAATCAAATAAATAAAATTTGACATTTTATAAATAAATAATAGGCAATAATGCTCAAGAGGAAGTAGATAATGATGATGATTGATGATGAAAGTGGCTCCTCGTCATAAACAATTTGAGCAATCACAACTATATATCGACTTTTTTGGGGTAAAGATAACTATTCTTCTTTTCGGAGATAATTATGACAAATTAACTTTTTTCGAAAAATTTTAAAAAAATATTATTATTTTATAAAAGAACTTTATTTAATTAAACACATGAATATATACACTATTTTAAAATAATATTGTGATGATATCAATAACAAATAAAAAAGTACATAGATAAATATTATTTAATTTTGCTTAATCATTATTTTTATTTATAATTATTCTTCAATTTTATACATTTGAAATAAGAAAATATTAAGAAATCATAAAATGCTTTTGTTAAAAAAAATAATATATATATATTTACTATTGCATAGGAGACATATTCAAATATTCACTTAATGAAAATGCAGTATCTGGTGTTTTCATATCATTAATTG